CTCCCAGTCCATACTGGTGCACTCCCAGTCCATGCTGGTGCACTCCCAGTGCATCCCAGTCCATCCTGGTGCATCCCAGTCCATCCAGGTGCACTCCCAGTCCATCCCAGTCCATCCAGATGAACTCCCAGTGCCTCCCAGTCCATCCAGGTGCACTTCCAGTTCATTCCAGTTCATCCCAGTGCATTCCAGTCCATCCCAGTCCATCCAGATGCACTCCCAGTGCCTCCCAGTTCATTCAGGTGCACTCCCAGTGCACCCCAGTCCATCCAGGTGCACTCCCAGTCCATCCCAGTCCATCCAGATGCACTCCCAGTGCCTCCCAGTTCCTCCCAGTCCATCCCAGCCCGCCCCCCACCCCGCCGCCCCGCCTTGTCACACCTCGGTCACCAGCCTGCCCCCGGCCCAGCCCTTCTGGCCGCCGGCCTCGCCGTCCACGCCCCAGCCCGGCCCCTGCCCGGCGCCCGCCTTGTCCTCGGCGTCGCCGGCGGGCTCGGGGTGGTGCGGGCAGGGCGCGGCGGGCACCACGGCGCCGCTCTCCTCGCCGCGCAGCTCGCGCCGGTAGAAGTAGGAGAAGTTGGAGACGATGACGGGCACGGGCAGCGAGATGGTCAACACGCCCGCGATGGCGCACAGCGAGCCCACCAGCTTGCCGCCCACCGTCACCGGCGCCATGTCCCCGTAACCCACCGTGGTCATGGTGACCACCGCCCACCAGAACGCCTGCGGGATGGAGGTGAAGGCCGTGGCCGCGTCTTCGGCCTCGGCGAAGTAGACGGCGCTGGAGAAGAGCACGACGCCGATGAGGAGGAAGAAGATGAGCAGGCCCAGCTCCCTCATGCTGGCCTTGAGGGTCTGGCCCAGGATCTGCAGGCCGGTGGAGTGGCGGGACAGTTTGAAGACGCGGAAGACGCGCACCAGGCGGATGACGCGCAGCACGGCCAGCGACATGGCGGGCTGGCCGATGCCGCGCTGCCGCGCCAGCTCGGTGCCCAGCGCGATGAAGTACGGCGCGATGGCCGCCAGGTCGATGAGGTTCATGGCGCTGCGGAAGAAGGCCGCCTTGCTGGGGCTGGCCACCAGCCGCACCAGCAGCTCCAGCGAGAACCAGCAGATGCAGACGGTCTCCACCAGGAAGAAGGGGTCGGTCAGGCCGGAGCGGTGGGGAGGGGGCGTGGGGGTGGTGGTGTTGGTGGGGGTGGGCGAGGGGGGCTGTGGGGAGAGAGGAGAGAGGTGGGGGGTGAGATGGAGGTGGGGGAAACGCCCGAATCCGGCAGCCGGAACCCCAAAGTCAATGCCCAGAATGGGTTAATGGGGGTGGAGACCACCCAAACCCCAGATCCACCACCCAAAATGGGTTAAGGGGGGCTGGAGACCCCCAAAATGGGTTAACAGGGGTTGGAGACCACCCAGATCCCCAGATCCACCACCCAAAATGGGTTAACAGGGGTTGGAGACCACCCAGATCCCCAGATCCACCTCCCAAAATGGGTTAACGGGGGTTGGAGACCACCCAAACCCCAGATCCACCACCCAAAATGGGTTAAGGGGGGCTGGTGACCACCCAAACCCCAGATCCACCACCCAAAATGGGTTAATGGGGGTTGGAGACCACCCAAACCCCAGATCCACCACCTAAAATGGGTTAAGGGGGGCTGGAGACCCCCAAAATGGGTTAACAGGGGTTGGAGACCACCCAGATCCCCAGATCCACCACCCAAAATGGGTTAAGGGGGGCTGGAGACCACCCAAACCCCAGATCCACCTCCCAAAATGGGTTAACGGGGGTTGGAGACCACCCAAACCCCAGATCCACCTCCCAAAATGGGTTAAGGGGGGTTGGAGACCACCCAAACCCTAGATCCACCTCCCAAAATGGGTTAACGGGGGTTGGAGACCACCCAAACCCAGATCCACCTCCCAAAATGGGTTAAGGGGGGCTGGAGACCCCAAAATGGGTTAACGGGGGTTGGAGACCACCCAAACCCCAGATCCACCTCCCAAAATGGGTTAATGGGGGTTGGAGACCACCCAAACCCCAAAGTGACCGCCCAGAGGGGGTTAACAGGAGTTGGAGACCCCAAAAATAGGTTAATGGGGGTTGGAGACCACCCAGACCCCAAAGTGACCACCCACCCACCCACTGTGGGTCAGCGGGGTTGGAGGATGAAGATGAGGATGATGATGAGGATGAGGATGAGGATGAGGAGGATGATGATGATGATGATGATGATGATGATGATGATGATGATGATGATGAAGAGAACGCTGATGAATATGAGGGTGAACACAAGGGTGGTGGCAACAGGGACACTGAAGATGATGAGGATGATGAGGATGATGAGGATGAAGATGGCCATGATGAGGACACTGAAAATGATGAGGATGATGAGGACGGTAACAGTGACACCAAGGACAATGAAGATGAAGGTAGCCATGATGAGGATGATGAAGATGAGGATGAGGATGGTGACAATGACACTGAGGATGATGAGGATGATGAGGATGATGAGGAGGAAGATGTGAAGATGGCCATGATGAGGACACTGAAGATGAGGATGAGGATGGTGACCATGACACTGAGGACGATGAAGATGAGGATGTCCACAATGAGGACACTGAAGATGAGGATGGTGACCATGACACTGGGGATGATGAGGATGATGAGGACGGTGATAATGACATTGAGGATGAGGATGATGAAGATGGTGACCACGACACCGATGATGAGAATGATAAGGATGAGGATGTTGTCAATGACACCAATGATGATGATGATGACGATGATGGTGACAATGACACCAAGGACGATGAAGATGAGGATGTCCACAATGAGGACACTGAAGATGAGGATGATGAAGATGATGTCAGTGACACCGAGGACGATGAGGATGAAGATGATGAAGATGATGACAAGGACCCCGACAATGAGGATGATGAGGATGAGGATGGTGACAATGATGCTGATGAAGAAGATGGTGACAACTGCACCAATGATGAAAATGATGAAGGTGACAATGACACCAACGATGAAGATGATGAAGATGGTGACAATGACACCGACAACGAGAATGATGAGAATGAGGATGGTGACAGTGACACCAATGATGAAGATGGTGACAATGACACCAACGATGAAGATGATGAAGATGGTGACAACGACACCGACAATGAGGATGAAGATGACAATGACAGTGACGATGAAGATGATGAAGATAAAAATGACACTGATGACGAAGTTGATGAGGATGGTGACAACGACACCAACAATGAGAATGATGAAGATAAAAATGACACTGATGATGAAGTTGATGAAGATGGTGACAACACCAATGAGGAATACGATGAGAATGGTGACAATGACACCGACAATAAGGATGATGAAGATGACAATGACACTAATGATGAAGATGCTGAAGATGGTGACAACGACACCGACAACGAGAATGACGAAGATAAAAATGACACTGATGATGAAGTTGATGAAGATGGTGACAACGGCACCAACAACAAGGATGATGAAGACAACCCCGATGACGAACCCGACGCCGCCGACCGCGCCCGCTCGCCCCACTGACCTCTCCCTCGGCGCCGGAGCGGAACTGCGGCAGCGTCTCGAGGCAGAAGACCACGATGGACACCAGGATGACCAGCACGGACAGCAGGGCCACCACCCGCGCGGCCGGCGAGCTCTCGGGGTGCTCGCACAGCAGCCACGCCCGCCGCCTCAACCCTCCACGCGGCAACGCCGGCGGCTCCTCCACCGAGAAGCCTTCGGCCTCGCGCAGCCGCTCCTCCGCCTCGTCGCCCAGCTGGTAGAACCTCAGCTCCTCCAGGAACACGTCCAGGGGCACGTCCGGGGGTCTCCGCAGCCGCCCCCCGGACTGGTAGTAGTAGAGCACGGCCCCGAAGGCGCCGCGGTGGCGGTCGAAGAAGTACTCGCGGCGCTGGGGGTCGAAGAAGCGGCGCCGGCGCCGGGGGTCGCCCAGGAGGGTGTCGGGGAAGCGCCGCAGCGTCCGCACCAAGGTCTCGAAGCGCCGGCCGGCCACGTTGATGGCCACGCGCTCGCAGCAGCCCAGCGGCTCGCCCATGCCCGCGGCGCCCCCGCGACGGGGCACGGGCGGGGCAGAGGGCACCGAGGGCAGCCTGGGGCAGGTGGGGGGCGGCCCCGGCGGTCCTGGGGGTCAGCGGGGGGCGAGAGGGTCAAGGTTCTTCAGCGTCGGGGAAACCCAAAAGTCTTGAGGGATACTGAAGGACTTGAGGTCACAATGGGACCCCAAAGATTTGGGGAACCACGAAAAACTGGAGGTCAAAGATTTGGAGGACTGTGAAAATATTTGGGGTCTACAATGCTGGAGGAACCTCAAGGTTCTTCAGCGTCGGGGGAAACCCAAAAGTCTTGAGGGATACTGAAGTACTTGAGGTCACAATGGGATCCCAAAGATTTGGGGAACCCCAAAAAATTTGAGGTCAAAGATTTGGAGGACCCCAAAAATATTCGGGGTCTACAATGCTGGAGGAACCTCAAGGTTCTTCAGCATTGGGGGAAACCCAAAAGTCTTGAGTGACACTGAAGTATTGGGGGTCACAATGGGACACCAAAGATTTGGAGGACTGTGAAAATATTCGGGGTTTACAATGCTGGAGGAACCTCAAGGTTCTTCAGCGTCGGGGAAACCCAAAAATCTTGAGGGATACTGAAGGACTTGAGGTCACAATGGGACCCCAAAGATTTGGGGAACCCCGAAAAATGTTGGCAAGATTGGAGGTCAAAGATTTGGAGGACCCTGAAAATATTCGGGGTTTACAATGCTGGAGGAAACTCAAGGTTCTTCAGCATTGGGGACACCCCAAAAATCTTGAGTGACACTGAAATATTGGGGGTCACAATGGGACTTTAAAGATTTGGGGAACCCCAAAAATATTTGGGATCTACAATGTTGGAGGACCTCAAACTTCTGGGGGTCCCACACTGGGTCTACAATGTTGGAGGAACCCCAAGGTTCTTCAGCATTCAGAACAACCCAAAAATCTTGAGGGACACTGAAATATTTGGGGCCCAATGGGACCTTAAAGATTTGGGGAACCCCAAAACTATTGGAGGTCAAAGTGGGACCCTAAAGATTGGAGGAACCCTAAAATATTCGGGGCCAACAATGTTGGAGGACCCCAAATTTTTGGGGGTCCAACCGCGGTTCTACAATGCCGGAGGAACCTCGAGGTCCTGCGGTGTTGGGACACCCCAAAACTTTTGGGGGTCCCAAGGGGACCCTAAAGATTTGGGGGGCCCCTAAATTCTCAAGTGGTCAACGGTGCTGGAGGACCCTCAGGATCCTTGGGGGGTCCTACAGATTTGGGGGACCCCCTAAACTTAGGGGGTGTCCCAGGGTGACCCCAAAGCCTTGGAGAACCCTCGAGGTCTTTGGGGGTCCCACGGTGACCCCCAAGATTTGGGGGGACCCCAAAAATGTTGGAGCTGGGTGGACCTCGGGGGGGTCTCACGGGGGGTCAGGACCTTTGAGGTCCTCGGGGGTGACCCCAAAGATTTGGGGGGACCCCTCAACTCTTGGTGTCCCCCGGTGTCACTGCGTCCCCCCGAGGGTGTCCCCGGTGTCCCCAAGCCACCAGACCCCTGTCACCGAGTGTCCCAAACCGCCCCCACCCCCAGTGTCACAGGGGTGTCCCCAAGGTCCCCTCCTGTCCCCAAGGTGTCACCGGGGGGTCCCCAGCGGCTGCCACCGGCCTGGCCCCGTGTCACCGCCTGTCCCCAAACCCTGTCCCGGGGGTGTCCCCACCCCTCCTGACCCTGTCCCCGGGGTGTCCCCACTGTCCTGGGGGTGTCCCCACCCCTCCTCACTCTGTCCTGGGGGTGTCCC